CAGATCCCCTACACATGCAGACTCCTCACACAGACCCCCAAACACATACAGAACCCTCAACACATGCAGACTGCCCAAATCCATGCTGGTCCCCCAATACATGCAGGCCCCCAGACACAGGTAGGGCCCTGGAGCCTGCAGGGTGTCGCCTACCCTCTGGCTGCCTGAGGCAGGGTGGCCAGCATGCCCCGGGGGAGAGATGTTGGCTGGAGGCTGGGGGGGTCTGAGGATGGGGTGTGAGCATCTGGGGGGGTCACGTGTATGGACGCTCCACTGGGGCCACAGGCTACATTGGTGCAGGGCAGCATGGGGATCTGCAGGCTGTTCCTGGGGCCTGAGGGTGAGGTGTGTCACCCACCTGTGGCTCTGAATCCTGGAAACCCAGAATGTTCCAGTTGGAGAAAGTGCCTTGGGGGTCCGTTTGTCCACAGGTCCCTCTACTACCCACAGGGAAACTGATGCCCGGTGGGGAACCTTCAGACCCACCTCCATAGACCCCTCCCCAGGCCTGTTCCAGCGAGGGCCCAATGTGGCCACGTGCTGAGAGGTATGTGGGCCCAGCCAGACCAGGGTTCAAATTCTGGCTCCACCATACACTCATTGCCTGATGTGCTCTGAGCCTCAGTTTCCCCGTTTGTACAACAGGCCACCTCAAGCTCCCCAGGTGCCCACCCACCCATCTTTCCTCTTTAGGAAGGCTTTCTCTACCAGCAAATGCCCAGCCCACCTTCTGCCCCTTTCCAGGTACTTGATACACCAGCCCCCGAGACAGACCGGCCACTTCCCGATCGCCAGGTCTTTGCCCAGGCTGTGCCCTCCCCCTAGAATGCCCTTTTCAGGTTTGCCCAGGTCTGAGAAGCTGCTGCCCATCCCTCAAGGCCGATGGGCAGGAAGCCTTCTTTCTGGGGACAGCAGTTTCCCAGGTGAGACGTCTCTCTCCCTGCGGCACTGAGCCTACCAGATATTTTTTGCACTTGTGACTTTTTTTCTTTTGAGGAAGATTAGCCCTGACCTAACAGCTGCCGCCAATCCTCCTCTTTTTGCTGAGGAAGCCTGGCCCTGAGCTAACAACCATGCCCATCTTCCTCTACTTTATATGTGGGACGCCTACCACAGCATGGCTTGCCAAGCGGTTCCATGTCCGCACCCGGGATCTGAACCGGTGAACCCTGGGCCGCCGAAGCAGAACGTGTGCATTTAACCACTGTGCCACCGGGCCGGCCCCTCTTTGTTACTTTCTTTGACGATCCTGTCGGCCCATCAGGATGTCTGGTCTACGAGGGCAGGGATGGAGCATCCCCAGTGCCCTACACACAGCAGGCCCCAATCACCCTTCCTTGAATGAATGAGCAAACAACTGCTTAACAAATGAAGAAACGTCGGCAACTGGTTCAGTTTTCTTTTAAACACCTGCTGGCCCACAAAACAAATTTGAAGCCCCATCTGGCCCACAGGCCACGTTCGAGACCCCTGCTCTAAACAGCCACCAGCACAACAGCCAACCAGACGGTGTTCCTACTCCTCTCAGGTCAAGGGGCTGACCCTCCAAAGGTCCCACTGCCGACCTCAGAAGGAAAGCACCTCCCGAGGATGTGCAGGACGTGGCCGCCCTCACTGCCCACCGCTGGCCCAGCCTGGCACACGCTCACCTACTAAGAAGCCCAGTTTCTCCGTCACAGCCACTGCAAAAGGAGGCAGGCTGCCCCATCTCACCTCCCCAGGAGTCTTGGGACCCTGACACCCAGAGCCAAGAGAGACTCAGCATTCCTAACCCAACCCTGCCGCCCCATATAGCTCAGAGCCCAAGGCCACCCAAGGCCCCCATGAGCCCCTGAGTCGCAGTGGCAGCTGCAGGGACAGCCCAAGCTTTTCTTCTCTTTGTTCCAGAGAAAGATCTCCCTGTGGGGCCCCAGAAATTCATCCCCAGAGGCTCTGGCCTCCCTGCTTGGGAAATTAGCACATCTGTCAATGCTGGCCGGAAGGGACTCGGCCACAGCCAGGCAGACCCAAGACGCAGCCAGTGGGGACCCCGAGATGAGGCCTTGGGGCATCCCTGGTCCCCACTCTCTTCCTCCAGAAATGTCTGGGAGCTCAGCAGGTGCCAGGGACATGGGGCAGGGAGTGGACAGACCCAGCTGGCCTCCTGCATCGCCCAGGGGGAGACAACTACAGACACAACTGTCAGGGACGGAGGCCTCTGAGGAAGAAATTCAACAGGGGGAGGCAGTGAGGTGTGGTTGGGGAGGGAACTGCTTTGGTCAGAGGGGCCAGAAGGGGCTTTCTGCAAAGGGGGGTCTTAAGGACGAAAGTACACAGCCAGGTAGTGATGTGGAGAGACTGCCTGGTGGAGGGAACAGCAGGTGCAGAGGCCCTGAGGTGAGAACATGCTGGGTGGATTGCAGGTGTAGGGATGGCTGGGGCAGGGTGAGTGAAGGGCAGATGGAGATACAGGAGGGCAGGGAGGCCAAAAGGGGCCTTGAGGTGTGGGGTAATAGGGGGAACTGTAGAGTAATGGGGAGCCACAGAAGGGTGTGTGAGCAGAGGAGGGCTGTGGTCTGATTCAGGATTTTCAAAAGACCCCATGGCTGCCGTGAGGAAAAGTCCTGTCAGGGAAGGCGGCCAAGACAGCATGCAGCAGTGGGAGACAGTAGGGGCTGTGAGTGTGGAAAGTGGACAGGGGCAGGCCTGTGCCACAGCAGAGACTCCTGAGGCCAACCTGCCTCGACTCTCCCTTCCGAGGGCCCCACGTTGACCTTGGGTGAACCTGGACTGGAGGAGATGGGGACAGGGAAGCCGACAGGCCTGAGCCCTCCTCAGCTCCTGGCAGCGGGTGGGGTTGGGATGGGCCTGGACGGGCTCACGGGCACCTCTGCTGGGTCACAGTTCAGGTGGCACCTCCTGTTATGGAGCACCTACCGTCTTCCTGGGCCCACGTGCCACCTCATTACACACGGGACCTGCCTGACACACAGACAGCCCGGTGAAGCAGAGAAGCTGCCCCCAGTTTACACAGGAGGAAGCGGACTTCTTCCTAGGGCCACGCAGCAAGACCTGACCCCTAGAGCCCCACTCAACCTTTGGCTTGTCCCCTGGGTCATCCTGCTGTGCCCCAAAATCACCGCCTCCACCCAATCTGAGAAGTGGGCCTGGGCTCTGTTGGGCTTCCTTCCTGAGCCTGGGGGCCATGGGGCAGCCTCACAAGCCCCCGAGATGCAGGCCCAGGGAGGCCCTTTTGGGGCTGAGAAACAGGACTCGATCTCTGTGTGCACCCCACAGGGATTCACAGGCCAGCACTGGGGTGAGCTCTCCCCTCCAAATGGGACCCCAGGCACACGATAAATCCTCTTCAAAACATGACATCCATCTCCAGGCACATGTGTGCCTCAAATCTTCCAGAAGGACAGATCCCCAACATGTCTATATCCATTGCATCTGAGTTGGGGTGACAAATGATTTTAATTCCCTTTCTCCTCTTAATTTGCATTTTTGAGATGTCTGCCTCATTGGGTCATGATTTAATAACATTAATCCTTAGTTGGAGATGGGAAGTAAGATTGAGCTCAACTTGCTCGGGTCACAGGGCTGGCCATGGAGCTCAGAGAGGGGCAGTGATCTCTCTGAGGTCATACAGAGAGGCGAGAGAGGAAGCTGGGGCCCTTCAGTCCTGGTTTTTGTTCTTTGAGGGGCTGAGGGGCAGCCTTGAACCTGTCCTTTCTCTGAGGGGGCATGGATGTCTCCATCTGGCCTCAGTCTTCTCTTCTGCAAAGCAGAGACTTCGGACCAGATAACCAACTTCCAGATTTTGCAGGTGAGACCCCGGAGTCCCAACTGTCCCCAAATTCCATTCCCTGGAGGCCAACATTTACTCCTCAGCTCAGCCAGGCAGTGTGAGGGAGGTATGGGGACAGGAGGGAGCGGGGCTGACTTCCCCCAAAGTCCCTTTGATGTTTGGAATCAAATCTCACACACTAGTCCTTCCGAATCTAAATACATTTTTGAACTTAGTTTCCTTCACCCCAAGAGATTGAGAGTTCTTGCCCCCGGATGCCAAAGGTCCAGAGGCCCTGATCTTCCCCAGTGAGGATTCTCGGCCAGGCATGAAGCCTCAGCTATTTCTGACTTCTTGGGTCTGCAGCTGGAGGCTGGGAGTGGCCAGGGACCCCGGTCGCTGACCAATATCTGCAGCCCTGGACCCTGAGAGAGGCAAAGAGGGGGGATCATGACCGTAAAAGTACTGCAGCCACCAGGTTGTCATGTGCTGAAAACTGTGAAGGGCTATGACTATTGTTCCTGTACTCATGTCCCAGATGGGGACACTGAGACACAGGGAGGAAGGTAGCTCAGGCAGCTATGACCCCCAACTGTGGGGCTCCGTGCCCTCTGCCCTGTCCCCAGCCACATGGGCACCCTGTGGGCCCAGCTGAGGCCCCACGTTCACTACATGAGGTGCAGACTCCATGGGGCCAGTGAGGGTCATGGTGGTCACAGGCACATGTGGATGGTCATGCCACACGAGGGTCTGGGGCTGTGACACACCAGGGCACATCCACAGCAGGATGGCATGGGGTTGTGCACAGGGGCCTCCAGGATGTGCAAAGGGGTGGGCCCAGGGAAGGGAGGACACTGCAGCTCACAGACACACAGCTCAAAGACACATAACAGGGGCTCACGGCACCACGACTTTGGACACACAACTCCCTAAGTGACATCAAAACCCTCAGACACACACCATTTGGACACACAACCCCTGGACATACGATGTCTCAGAAACACAACCCTTGGACTCACAACCCCTTGGACACACCCTCCCCCTCGGACACACACCCTTTGGACACAACCCCTCGGACACACAACCTCTCAGACTCACAATCTTAGGACACACACCTCTTAGACACACAACTTTCCGACGCACAGCAGCACACTCAGACCTCCAACCCAACCCATCCCACAGATGCAGTTCAAAGGACACCGCGCAAGCCTCGGTCCGACGCGACACGCACCTGCTCGGCCTGGGCCCGCGGAGGCTCGCGCACCGACCGGCGGCGGCACAGAGCTCCGGATGCCGGGCGGCCGCAGGTGCCTCCAGAGCGGGAGGCCCCGCCCCCGGGAGCTGATTGGACGGGGCGGGTTCATTTGCGTAGAGGGCGTGCCCGTGGGCTGTGGTGGGCGGCCACTTGGGCGTGGCCCCGCCCCTGGAGTTAGGGGCCCGGGACTCACACGCGGGAAGACTCTGAGATGGGAGTTGAATAAGGAGGGAGGAGGACTCAGAGGAGGGAAGCTGGATCAGACTCGCCAGGCTTTCCTTCGCCCTCACTGGGCGCCCCTGACCTTACTGCTGACCCTGACCCTAACCCAACGGTGACCCTGACGCTTATTTGAACCCTGTCTCTAACTACTGCTGGCCCCAACCCCGGACTTACTCCAAACTGATTGAAATATAACTCCGACCCTGGACCCTGACGGCCCCAAGAGGACCAAGCCCTTCTCGCAGCCAACACTGACCCTTACTCTCACCCAAATGGAGAGACTGCAGAAAGGGGCCCTGGGGTCACCTGTGTGGCCTTGCCCAGCTGTGCCTTCTGCGGGATGTGTGACCCTGTATGCCTCAACAGGAGGGTGACAGACCCCGGGCTGCTGAGTGCCCTCCTCCACTTCAAAGGTCAGCTGGGGCAGGGGGAGGCTTCCAGGACTGGACCTCCTCCCTAGGATGCCAGAACCACCCAGCAGGGGTCCAGGCCCAAAGTGGGATGGGGTGAGGTTGTGGTCGTGGTGAGTGAATCAATGTGAAAAAAATTACAGGATGAAGATTATTTTGGACTGGGTAATCCTGAAGAAGCCCCCAGTCTGGAGGAGGCAGAGCCACCACACACTCCCTGCAGCCCTGTGGAGTCAGGCCTGGGCCAGAGGAGGGCTTCCCAGAAAAGGGGGTATTTGTACTGGGCCTTGAAGTATGAAAAGGAGTTTGCCACTGGGAGAAGAGTTTTCCAAGAGGAAACAGCATTTGCAAAGGTGCAAAGGAAGACTGCAGAGCATTCTTTGGTGGAGGGAGATGAGAGTGGTGAAGCCAGAGCAGTAAGTGGAGCTGATTGGGCTGGGTGCACAGGTAGAGGCTTGGGGATAAAGAGGAAAGGGTCGATGTGGGGCAGATGAAGGGGGAGAGCAGGCAGGTTGCAATGGCTGTGTGGTGTCCACCTTCTCAGAAGACAACAGGAAATGGCTAGACCCCTGGACTCAGGAGGGAGCATGTGGAGATGTCAGTGTGTGGGGGACACTGAGGAAGGGAACAGGGGTACTGAGACATTTGGTCCTCTCCCCACAACTCAATTTACCCATCTGTGACACGGGCAGTTTGGATCCCTAGTCTGGGCACAGCTTTCTCTTTGGACATAAAAACTAGGGTTCACACTCTGTCATAAGGAGGTGGAGATCAGGGATCCTACGTCCCCTCCCCCCCCCCGCCCCTGCCCCTCAGGGCCCAACGCCAGACAATCAGTGTCCCAAGGATACACCAGAGCCCAGGCCTGGCTGGGGGCTTCTGCCTCAGCTCCAAGGTGCAGAACGAAGCTTGGGGAGCATGGAGGTGGCTGGGGAGCCCCAGGCCCCCCGAGGGCTGCTCTGTTTACCTGCGGCCGCCTGCCCGCCTCTGATGCAACAGGCAGGCTCTGGTTACGTGAGGGTGGCAGCTGGAGCAGCTCTGGGAGCAGCTGGGGCATGGCAGGAAGGGCCCCCCATGAGTCGGCTGAGGTTGCCCCCCATGTCCTCTACCCGCTGCCCCTCCCACCATTTGGGCTCCCTCCTCTGTTCCTACCCTCCCACGTCACCCCCTCCCACCACTCACACTCCATGCTGCCTTCCCATTCTGATTGATTCCATCTTCTATCACTCACACCGTTTCCTATAACGGCTCCTCCTTTTTGCCTTTGCCCCTGTTCCTGTCCCATAACCTCCCATGTCACCAGCTGTGTCACTCTGCGTGGACCCCTGTCCCCCATCAGGGCAGTTAGGAGTCTTCTCAGATGAGGGGATACCCTAAATTGCTGGAGTAAGTGGTTGGAGGGTGGAGGGGAGGTTTGGGGGGAGAAGGGGGTGGAAGGGCCAGAGGGTGGTCCTGGGAAGGGGACTGGGAAGATGGGGGAGGTGAAGGAGGAGGCAGGGGTGGGAGGGTGGGGAAGTGGACAAGCTGCTCCCCCCAAGCCTCCTCCTCCAGATCTTCTCCCACACTGCAGCAGGGGAAGGCTTTAAAGGACCCTCCATGGCAGGGACAGTGTAGTACAGTGGGTAGGGCTTCAGGGTCAGACAACTTATCCCATCTCTGACTCCCACTCACTGTGTGACCTCAGGCCAGTCACTTCTCCCTTCTGAGCCTGTTTGCTTATGTGAAAAGTGGGAACAACAGCAGCCCTTCCTCCTGGGGGGGGGGGGGGGAGTGTTTCAAGGTCCACCTCCAATGTCCCCTCCTCCAAAAGCCTTCCCTATCCCCCTTCTATTTGGGGTTCCTCCACCCCGTCCCTCCTTCCAGCCCAGTGCTGACCTAGGGGCTTGGGGATGTCTGAGTCCCATTCCGTGTCTGTGTCTGAGGGGGACTACTCAGGGCCAGGCCCAGTGTGTGGCAGCATCAGAGGAGTGTCTTCATGGGTTTCTTGAAGAACTAGCGCCCTGGAGAGGACCTGAGGGGTGGAGGGGCATGGGGACCAAGCTTGGGGCATCCAGAGGCCCGGCTAGGGGATGTGGCAGGGTTAGGAAGGGGCTTCCCAGGGGCGGAACCCTCTGGGACTACAAAGCAGAGCTGAAATAAAAACCAGGACAAAAGTTTCATTTCCGTCCTGACCACTGCTGACTAACCAGGCGCCAATCACTGCCCTTTTGGCTTCTTTTTACCTCATCCATGGATTTGAAAGGGGTGGGGGGCACATTTTACACAAGTCTGGGATCCCTTCCAGGTGGCCCCCACGCTCGTGGGTGCTTCAGTGCCCCAGGGCACGGGGAGTTCACTGCCTCTCTCCCAGCTATCCACCTATCTCTGCAGCTCTGAAGGGAGCAAGTCCTCGCTTGGGTGAGGAGGGGAGGCGTCCAGCGAGCGTCCAAGAGCACGTGAGGGCAGATGCGAGCTCCTGCTGGGTAACCTGGCCTCGCGGAGCCTTAGTTCGCCCTCTGAAAAATGGGAGTGAGGATGTATGGGGTGAAAAAGGGTGCAGGGTCACAATGCTCCCACCGCGACCGGCGGCGAGGGCGGCGAGGCCTGCCGACAATGACCGCTCCGCGGCCGAGTGCCCGGCCACGGCTTTGTCTCTTGCGCCCCCTGGCGGCAGTCCAGGGCAGGGCATTCTCCAGGCGGGAAGGCCGAGAACCAGCATGCAAACGAGATGCAAATTAGCCAGCACCCGCGCTAGCCCTCGTACCCTGGGGTTGTGCAGAATCTGGCAGCCCCGAGTTCTGCTCAGACCTCTTTGCGCAGCTATTAACCGCTGGCTGAGGTCTCTTCCAGTGGGCTTCCGGTGACAGGGAGCCCTGGGAGGGTTTGGGGCCTCCCACTAGCTCACAGCACCTGGGATGTAGCATACAATTATCTCACTTAGCTGCCCGTCTGTCCAAGGTCTGAGCCCTGGAATCAGGGCTGGCCCGTCTTGCTCACCAGGGCATCCCCTGGGCAGGGCTACATCCACAGAGGGCAGTCAACGTTTGCTGGATAAATGGCTGTATGGTGGACAGGTAGAAAGACTGATTGACAAGGAGAGGTGCTTTCAGAGCAGGCGAGGAGAGGCAGAGTGACACTGCAGAGGCCACACACCAGTCAGGGCTTCAAATGGTGTGGACCCGAGGCTCCTCCCTCCCCCTAAACTGAGCTGGTGGAGTGGGGAGGCAGGATGGCGGCAGAGAGGCCCCCTATATACCCTAGAAGGAGAGGGAGAGGACTGACCCCCACTCCCTGGTGGTGCAAGGCAGGCCTTTCTTGACATCTCCTGTGTCCCTGAACCCTCTCCCAGGCCCTCAGGCCCCCTCCACACCCCTGACACCCCCCAGGACCCTCTCTGTCTCTCCTAGGGTGCCCCCAGCCTTAGCCGCCCCTCTCCCAACCACCTCACAGTGCCAAGCTGGGGGATCCTCCCAGATCAGTGGGCCTGGGACCCACCCTGGCTATACCCCACACAACTCCATTCTAATCTTCCTGATACATTTTGTTGGACACTTCCTTGGCACACAACTGGCCTTGGAGGTGTGCAAACTGTGGACCATGATCTCCTAGGCTCAGAATTTGCAGGGATCGGGGTGGGCTCTTCTGCAGGCAGCAGAAACGGACTCAAAGCAATTTTGGCAAATATAGTAATTCAGGGACTCATGAAACTAAAAATTTGAGATTTTCTGGTGTCAGGTACAGCTGGATCCAGGGCCCCATGCAATGTTCTCAGGTATCCCCTTCCGTCCGCCCAGCTCAACAACCCTGATGAGAAGATGCTAACTTTCCCACGCTTCCAGCAAAATTCTCAGGGAAGAACTCTCATTGGGTCATACGCCCATCTCAAACCAGTCACTGTGACCTGGGAGATGAGGGGCTCTGATTTGCTGGCCATCTACCCCTGCAGCTAGAGGTGGTCTCTGTATGACCTGAGCCTGGGCTGGGCATTTTTCCTCAAGGCAGGAAGCAGGCCAGGTAGGCAGGTGCATGAATGTCCACCTCAGCTTGTAGAGAAGGTCCAGGCCAGCCTCCCTTGTCCTGATGGAGAAATGGAGGACCAGAGAGGGTAAGCATATGTCACATAGCATGTCAGAGGCAGAGCTGGGACCAAACCAGGCCAGGGTCCACTTTTCTCTAGCTGTGTGACCTTGCACACGTCATGTAACCTCTCAGAGCCTCTCTTTTCCCATCTGTATTTAGGGGTGACACCTGCCCTACAGGGCTGTCTGAGGATGACAGGTGACCCTTGCCCCCAGTGCAGTGCTGGGCACATACTGGGTGCATGCTCGGGATTATCATGGTGGCAATTATTGGTCCAAGGGGCCACAGCTGTGTCCATGCCGATGCGGGGCAGGTAAGAATCCAGGGGCAGCAAAGCCTTGTCTCAGGACATTCATGGCTGGCCTGGAGGCTCTGGTCAGGAGCAGGAGAAATGTGCTGGCCACACGTGCTCAGTCTTCATTCCCTGCCAGGTACCACAAGGCTGCGTCCAAGGGCCCAGCTTTAGTCAGGCTGGGGGGCGAGGGTCAGGGTGAGGTCTGAGAGACCCCCAGGGCTGCAGGGTCGCCCTGATGAGGCGGTACCTGAGGCAGGAGGTTGGGCGGGGCCTGGGGAAGAGGTGAAACCTGAGGGTTAGAGGGTCTGGATGTGATTTCTGGCACTTCCAGTCGAGAGTGGTGACCTGCCTTGCCTCTTTGAGGCTGCTCCTCTTCTGTAAAATGGGGCTGTGTTCAGGGCTCTGGGACTGAAGAGGCAGGTGAGATCAGAGGCCAGGGGAGGCCGCCACTTGACCCAGTGAAGGTCATCACCCACGGTGATGGGTCAGGGGACAGGGGGCAGGGGTGCTTTGAGGAAAAGTGCGGGTGGAAGGCCCTGAGCGGGGCGTGGGGGGGGAGTGGGGTGCAAGGTCTGTAGGGACAAAAGCATGATCAGGAGGCATAGAGCATTTGTTTTGTTCTGAGGGGGCACAGCAGTAGAGGAACAGCAGATGACCCAGGGCATGGGGAGGGCAGCATTCTTGAAGCGTGAGAGGGGGAGCAACCACCGTGAGGGGGAGGGGATGGGGGAGTAGGTGGGGTATGGGCCCAGGGCTGGTGGGCAACACTGTGTGCAGCATTGAGGTGGCCCGCTGACACCCTTGGCAGCCCCTCCTGCTCCAGGCCCTCCCAGATGCCCACCAGGTGGTCTCACAGCCTGCAGGATTCCTCACCACTCCTAGGCCTGGAACTAAGCCTGGCCCAGAGCAGGTGCTGTATAAGCTCTCTCAGACTGCACACGTGAACTCTGCTGCCTCTTGGCCCTGCGGGCTGCTGCTCTGGGGCTGTGGGGCCCCTGTCCCCACCCATGCCTCCCTGACCCTCTGAAAGGGCATCCACAGCACACAGCACCATCACAACACATGGGCAGGGGGCTCAGAGTGCGACACAAGCCAGGAGCTCACTAAGTCCCTTGGGCACCCCAGATCTGCGGGGTCTGCCCTGCACGGGCACAGAGTGACAATATGCCAGGCCTTTCTTGGTGCCACACTCTCCTCATACAGTCAATCACACCTCCCAGGACTGACACCCTCCTGCAGTCCTCCCCTGTCTGGTCCTGGGCCAAGCCACATGACTGGCCTTGAGCAATGGGACATGGGCAAACAGGAAGCCAGCAGAGGCTGGTGAGCACATGGGCACTGGGTGCCCAGCCACCAGGAGAAGCCCGGGCTGGCCTGCTGGAGAGGCCACGTGGAACACTGGACCCCACACCCAATAGCACTGGTCAAGAGCCAGATGTGTGAGCAAGGCCACCCCTGCCTATCCAGCCCCTTTGAGCTCTGATTAGTGCCACATGAGTGGCCCCCAGGTGAGACCAGCAGAACTTCCCAGCTCAAATCACAGAATCGTGAGCAGGCAATGATGGTGCTATATGCCACTAAGTTTGGGGACAGTTGGTCACGCAGCAGTCACTGACTGCTACAACACACACCACTGTACAGAGCAGCCCTTCTCTGCCGCCGGATGAGCCACTCTGACAGAAGGGAAAAGCAGAGACCAGAGTGGGGAGGGGCTTGTTCAGGGTCACACAGCAGAGTCATTGCTGGAGCAAGGATTCCAGAGCTGGGTGGGTAACCACCATGCTGGGCTCTGCCTGAGATAATGTGTGTGGGTAAAGCAAGCAGGTGGCACATGGCAGAGCAGGGGAAATGTGGGCTCCCCTCTCTGTCCTGGTGGTGTCCTTGGGATGGGACAAGACTTGTGGCCTGATAAGGGGCAGGATGTTGGCAGACAGAGCACAAGGGAGATGGGCTGACGACAGCCCTAAGCAGCAGAGGGCACAAGGTCCCCCTGACTGCAACCTCCCACTGATGAAACCATCCTACAAGCTCAGCGAGAAAGCCCGAGTGGTTAGACAAGCCGGTCCTTCTTGGGCACCGAGGGTGGGTTAGTTCAGAGGCCGCAGCACAGGGAGGCTTGCAGCCCCATCGGCACTGACCTGGGTTGGAGGGGCCGAAGCACCTCCGAGTCTCTTCTGGGTTCAGGTGGAAGAGGGCGGGGGCAGTTCCTCAGGGCTGGAACAAAACATGTGCAGCATCCATGAGGCCCAGGTGAGAGGCCATGAGGCCTGCTCAACTAGACTGGAGGGTGGGTTCAGGCACCCTCTGGTCCCCTAGGACTCCTGGCTTCAGCCTTCAGGGCATCCTCTGGAAGAATGGGACCAGCCACCCGCTAGAGAGGTCATGCCTGGGACTCACGAAGGACTGGGTGCTTCAAACCCACAGGGCTTGCAAAGAGAGGTGTTAGCAGCACCTCAAGCTGCTACTAGCATCTTTCAGAAGCACAGTGCATTTTTGCAACAGCCGGCACAAACAGGGCATTTGAAAGCACTTGGGAAACCATGAATTGAAAGTAAAAAGCTATAGCTTTTTGAGGCCCTACCATGTGCAGGGCGCTGTGCAAGCTGCTTTACACAGTGAACTCTGGTTCTGATGCTCTCACCAACTCATGGCAGAGTGGCCAGAGCCAGACAGTCACCGAATGCAAACGAACCCAGGTGAACCTCGTCACACCACTCTCAGAGGGAAGAGTGGTACACATCCATTCCTACACATTCTCAAGGCCCTTTTGTTTTTGACAGTTCTCATGTCTTAGTTCTCAGAAACAGTGCCACAGATTTTTTTTCCTTCTAAATGCCTCATAGGAGACAGGCACACCAGAACTCAACTGCAGGAGCCAGACACATCTCAAGGTAGAGTTATGGCTTACAGCATGTGCATGCGTGTTCAAACGTGTTTATTAAGTTATAATGATAACCTCTTTCCCCACTGTGCAAGGACTGTGAGTGCTTTTCATTTTCAGACCATCTGGTCCTTGGCTCAAAGCCTCCTTCAGCTCTGGGCACCCTTCCCTGCTGCTGGTGAGGCCCACCTCCCGACCCCGTCTCCCCCTTGCTCACCGGCTCCAGCAACACCCACCTCCTAGATGTTCCTGCAACACACCCAGCTCACCAGACCCAGGGCCCTGCCCTCGCCACTGCCCCACCTGGAACACCGTCCCCTGGTCATCTCCATGCACATGTGGTTCAGGCCTCTGCTTGCACCTCTGCCGCCTCTCATGGAGACCCCCACATCCCTTTTCCTCCTTTACACATGTCTGAAATGCTACTGTCTGTTCTATGTTTATCTGCTTGTTGTGTGTCTCCCCGTGAGACCATGAGCACATCTGTCTCGGTCACTGCTGTGTTCTCAGCGCCCAGCCTAGGGCTAGGCACAGAGCAGAGCTTGGGACCTGCGTGCTGAGTGACTGAACTCCCGCACAACCCTCCCACTACAGACGCCAAAGGACAAGAGAAGTCACCAGACACCAGGAAACAAGGAAAGGAGCAAGAAGTGGCAGTTCCTGGCTGAGCGGTGAAGGTCCTTACAGTGAGGAGGCTGAGAGCAGCAGGGGCAGGTGGTCCTGGGAGCTACCTGTGGCCCTGGGTGGCGGCGTTCATGTGGTCCCGGATACTGATGGCCTGTTTCAGGAGACCCTCCACGCTGCGGAAGTAGACGCTACTGTCCACAAGGTTCTTCACGGCGCTGAAATGGGAGGATGGAGCCGGTTGGTGCTGCCCTGCTTCACCCTCCCCTCCTGGCGCCTGCCGGTGTATCCCCCCACCAGAGCTCAGTGGGGGCCCTGTATGGGCTGGACGCTCAGCAGGCTCCTCGGGGAGTTCTGCAGGACTCCCTGAGGGCTCACCATGGGCTTCAAGTTTAGACTTCCCTGCTACGCCCAGATGACAAGTGACAGAGCACTGGGTAGCAAGACGCAACCTTTACCTCACCACCACTAGCCCATCTATCATCCCTGAAGGAGCTGTAAGCAGGCAAAGATGGGCTCAAGCACATCCTGCTTTCCTCTTAGATAACCTATGCCTGCCCCTGAAGGAAGCTGGTTAACTCGACTGTGAAAAGCTCTGGAGCTAAGTTACGAGGAACCGGGATAACTCATCACCCTCAGGGGGAACTACTGCCGAGCTGCGAGAGCCCCGTGCTGGTGCCACACTGCCGACTGTCTAATGCAAACATCCCTTCCAGCGGCACTCGGGGCCTGGCTAATGCCAGAAAGTCACCGGGCAACAGCATCTGCAGCAAAAATAGAAGTGTTGTTTTAAAGTCCTATTAAAGACAGAAGAAAAATCACTCCCATTTGTTATCAGTCAGGGACTCGTGCTTGATGGCCCACCTCGACAACAAGCTCTCCAATATAAGCTCACTGTTGAATAGTTTACCCCAACAACCTACCACTATAACATCTTTCAGTTTTACACCAACCATTAACACTGCGTAAGGCACTTCAAACAACTAAAAGATAAGGGCTCTTTCATGTCCACAAAGGAAAACATGGTCTTCTAGCATTAGAGAAATTCACATCTCCCTAAAGAGAGTGCCCAGAGCACACTGGCCCCCTGCTGAGCCCAGTGCAATCTAGTGGAACTTTCTGGAATATGATGTTCTTTACTGAGAGGGCTGCTCAGTACTTGAAATGTGGCTAGCAAGACTGAGGAGCTAACTCTTTCATCTTATTTCATTTTAATGCGTTAAAATTTTAAATGTGAACACCCACCTATGGCCTGGGGCTCCTGCACTGGACAGTGCAGCTAGAGAAAATGGGAGAAAGTACAGACTTTGACATGTCCTTCCTTGAACCTGGGCCTTGCTGATGAGCTCACAGCCGTCCAGGAGCGGTCCAGCAGCCAAAAGAGAGACACTCATTTCTTTTCTTGAGCTAAGGAAGGTGTCTGTGACCACCATCCTCAGGAAGACGGCATCTGTCTGGGTCACCCCCAGGCCCAGTGGAGGGGCCAAGGCTGCTGATGGCAGAACACCCAGCTCAGTGCCACCAGCAGGAGGACTTCCTGTCTAGGAACCTTTGTCCACACAACCAAACAGCAAGAGGCAAGCAAACCCCATGGCTCCCCAGCTGCATCCAGCTTCCACCAAAATGACCCACAGCCCAAGCCAGAGGCAGTTGGCACTTCTACAGAGTCACCCAACTCCCGAGGCAAACAGCCCAGCCACGGCGTTAAATACAGGCACGGGGAATGGACGGCAGGGCAGGAGGCCAGGCCGGCACGGCTGCAGTAACAGAAAGAAACACCAGCGACTGCTTCTCACTGGCAGGCACACCTTTCCCTTGGGAAAATTAAAAACAATCTGGAGATTCTGAAAAAGTTAAACAAAAATAAATGGTATACCCATGTTCACAACAGCTCTATTCACAATAGCTAAAACATGGAAGCAACCCACGGGTCCATCGACAGATGAACAGATAAACACAACTCGGTCCATCTATACGACAGATTATTATTCAGCCTTAAAAGGGAAGAAAATTCTGACACATGGTATAGCATGGATGAACCATAAGGACATTATGCTCAGGGAAATAAGCCAGTTACAAAAGGGACAAATACTGCATGATTCCACTTATACAAGGTCCCTAGAGGAGTCAGATTCACAGAGAGAGAAAGTAGGATGGAGGCTGGGGCTGAGGGAGGTGGATGGGGAGTTAGTGTTTAATGGGGACAGTTTCAGTTTGGGATGATGAACAAGTCTTGGAAATGGATGGTGGGGATGGCTGCACAACATTAGGAGTGCATTTAATAACACTGAATTGTACACTTAAAAGTGGTTAAGGGGCCGGCCCCATGGCTGAGTGGTTAAGTTTGCGTGCTCCACTTCAGCGGCCCAGGTTCACCAGTTCGGATGGTGGGCGCGGACATGGCACCACTGATCAGGCCATGTTGAGGCGGCATCCCACATGCCACCACTAGAAGGATCTACAACTAGAATCTACAGCTATGTACTGGGGAGATTTGGGGAGAAAAAGCAAAAAAAAAAAAAAGTGGTTAAGATGATAAATTTTATGTTTATGTATTTTACCGCAATAAAAAATTGGAAATAAGTATAAATTAAAAAATAAACAGCCGTATTCATTCTTTGGCCCGGCCCCCAGCTGCCATCCACCCTAGCAGCCAGTCTGTGGTCCGGGCTATGAGGGGGAAATGCCAGCCCCTAGTGGGGCCAGCTCCCTGCCTGGGTGGCACCTCCCAAACTACTTATCAGCCATTCTTGTGACAGATAGGGAGGGGCTCAGTGCAAGGAAGAAGCCTGCCAGAGGCACACGGGTGCAGGGCAAATGGTAAGAAGCAGGCTGGGGCTGGAACCCACCACACAGCCAGGTGAGTTGAGATCCACATGCCTCCACTCAGATGGGTTTGGAAGGGCAGGGCTCACTGGACAGCTGGCTGGGGGCCCTGAGCATCCAGGAGGCTAGGGCATGGTGGGGAGTCTGCGGTGCTCACCTGCAGGCATACTCCACTGTATAGATGGCGCCCTGGCTCTGCTCCTCCCATCGCTGCATGTCGGCCTGTGGGGAGGGGGAGTGCTTTTAGCAGGAAGGGCTGCCACTCAGAAGGCTATCCTCCCAGCTCTGTGGGATGGAGCACCCAATCACTGAAAACCACGGCCACAGAGATAGGTCCCCTCCAGCTCCTGACTTTTCCTCCTACAACTCCCCTCCCACACCAGTTGGGCTTGCTGTGAACACTTGGCCGTCACCCTTCAGGGCCTTTGCACTGGCTGTTCCCTCCGCCTGGCATGCCCTTCCCTCTGGTCTTTGCATGGCTGCCTCCTTTGTACACAGGTCACAACTAACACAGATCCTACTGTCCTCTCCTTCAAAATCTGCCCCAGATATGTCTACCCATGACCCCAACTTGGCTCAATGACCATGTGCCTCCTTGCTGGTGTCCCAGCCTTGACTCTTAACCCAGTAGCCCTTGCTCCACACTGCAGGCCCCAGCTCATGAGGTGCGGACCCTGGGGGAGGTGGGAGGCAGGGGCAGGCAGGGCTCACCTTGTGCTGGGCCAGCTCAGGCAGTGAACGGCGCACGTGCTCCTGCAGGCGGTACAGGGCCACCGACGGCTCATTGGCCAAGACATAGATGCTCTCGGTAAACTTGTCCGTGACTGGATCCAGGATTGAGAGTCAGCCAGCAGGTGGGGTGTTGGGGAGGGGGACACAGGAACAGGGAGGACAAAGGGACAAAGCATCAGACTCCTGATTCCTCAACCTATGAATCCAGCCAGAGCAGACAGGAGTGTCCAGTGTCTCCCCCAGCAGCTGGGTCACCTGTGTCCCCAGTGATGGGTTGAAGGAGATGGTCACAGCAGAGCTGGACAAGTCTGTCTGGGAGTCACAGAAGGATCTCAATCTCGATGATGTTAATGCACCGAGTGAACTCATAATCTCTCCCCGCCCGAACCCACTTGTAGTGGACACTGCTGCCACCCACTCAGATGCCCCCAAATTCCATTTACCCCAGTGACCACATCTGAGATTCTTCTTCAGAGGATGCCCACTGGTTACTGGACCTGAAAATGCCTGAAAGTTTACATCCCTGGGTGGCCTCTGCCATGACTGACTAGGGAAGCGTATGAAAACCCGTGACCCGAGCTGTGTATCAGAGGCATGACTCATGCCCCTGAGCTCCCCTCTGGGATCAGGCTGAGTCCTCCCGCCATGGAATTTTACCTGAGGTTGCTCATTGCTCAGCCTCCTCCCTGGCCCTGTCCTGTTTCCTACTCTCCCCTGTGGGGTTCTCCTGGTAAGTAAATTACACACAAATCCTCATCCCAGGGTATGCGTCAACAAACGGCATTCCCAGCCAGCTGGTCATCTACACCCTCCCATCCAAGAGCAGATCCTGCTGGTTCTGCCACAAAACAAAGCCTAAATCTCACTCATTCTTACCATTACCCTGTCCCCACTGGTCCACCTCCCACCTGGATGCCAGATTCAGTTCCTCCCTGGTCTCCCTGTGTCCCCTCCTGCCAACAGTCTGATCTCCAGACTTCAGATGGAGTGAGCTCCTAATGAACATATCAGATATGTCCCTTCCTTGCTTGAAACTCTCCCATGGCTCCCATCAGCCAGAGAATAAAATCCACCTACTTAGCATAGCCCACAATGCCCTGCATGTTTTGCCTGCTGTTGACCTCCCTGCCCTCCTCGCCCTCCACCCCAGGCACAACGGCCTCCTGGCTATTCCTCGGACACTCTCAGCACTATACAAAAGCACTTTCTGAGATGATGGAAAAGTTCTATAATCTATACCGGCCAATTTGGTAGCCGCTAACCACGTGTGGCTACTGAGCACTTGAAACGTGACTCAGAAATCAAATTTTACCTAATTTTAATTAAATACCCACAAATACTGTGACTAGTAGCTATAGAGTGTGTTGCAACACAGCTCTAAACACTTCGCCACCTCAGGGCCTTTGCATCTGTTTTTCCCACCACTCATACACCCTCCCCCCACTGGGTTCTTTTCATCCTTCAGCTCAAATGTCACCTGGGCAAGGCCTTCCCTGATCTGATCACCAGGCTTAATCAGATATCCCTTCCACCTCATTCTTGACCTCAACACCTTGTTCATTTCTCTTATACTTAAATTCTCATTCTTTATTAGGTTACATGTTTACAGAAAAAAAGAAATTAAAGCTTGGATTCATGAGGGCAGGGGCTTCTCTGAGCCTCAGTTTCCTCATCTGTAAAAATGGGATAACGGTACCCATCTCGAGGTTTGCTGCAGAGATGGACCGGGTGCTATTGCCCAGTGCAGTGTGGCTGGCAAGAGACAGCACCCTGGTGTGTCTGGGAGTCGAGAGAGGCAGGGAATCTCTCCAGCTCACTGCTGTAACGAGTGGGGCAGAGCCCACCCTGCCACCTCCAAACTGTGCCCCCTTACCCTCTTAGGTTTCCTCGGTGTGAAATTGCGCATAGTAATACCTTACACCTCACGGTGTTGTTAAGAAGGAGATGGAATTCGGTGTACTTGAGCCTTCTAAATAATTAACTAAAAAAATAACAAACACCTGTATAACTTAAAAACAGTTCGTGGCATTTTGTAATTTGTAACTCTGTGACTTACAAATATTTGATAAGCCAACGTAAACATACACAAACGCGTAAATACGTAGGAAACAATACACAGGCCATGGCCACGCCCCAGGCGTTCCTCCAATGCTTTACAAATATCGGATTATTGAATTCTCACAACAATCCTATGGGAGGTGGGAGGAAGACTATTGCGCTCCCCTTTCTAAGATGACAAAACCGAGGCACCGAGACTTTCTAAAGGTTTCAAAACTAGTCAGCGGCCAAACCGGGATTCCACAGCAGTTCAATCACTGCCCCGCACGCTCCCTCCGCGCCTTCGCCCCTTCCCGCCCTCCGTCCGGCCGCCCCTCCGTCCCTCTCGGGGCCCGCACCACCTTTCTTCCCCTTGAGCTGCATCTCTGGTTCCTCCATAGCGACAGCACCCCGATCCCGAGGACTGCCACCGGAAGTCTGGGGATGGAGACCGCTGCCTAAACCTTCCCCTGCAAAACCGGACGCCGCCCTGACTCAGTTCCGGTAACCAAGTGGCCTACCCTCCCTGCTCCTCCGTCTACCCAGACAGAAGAGGGACCGTGAGTGGGAGACTGGGGAAGGAGCCACACTCGGAGGCGGGTGAGGAGGGGGCGGAGACCTCCTGAAGCTCCAGGAGGGACACCTAGGCGGGGGAGGGGTAAGGGTGTTCTCGCTTCCCGAATCCCCTTTTCTGGAAGCAGACGAAATGGGGGAACACGCCACACAGCGCTCACTTCGGGCTGTATAAACGCCCTCCTTGTACCCTCCCCGCTGCCACCAAATCCCTGCACATCCTCATGAGCGCCCAAGACAGCACAGGGAACATTGTTATGGGAGGCGCCGGCAATGGCGTCGCCCCTTTAAATCCCAGACGCCCTGCCTGCTTCCCTCCCGCCCTCCGCCTGAAGAAAGCCCCGCCCATTCGCCCGAAGGTGGAGCTGATTGGCTCCCTCTGGAAAGACGTGTGGGCGGAGCTGAGGGTGAGGGAAAACAGTGGCCGTGAAATCCTCTGAGGTCCAGCCCACCCCTCTCCGACAGAGAGGGGCTCCCATCTGAGCCACGGGGACAAGAACGCGCAGGCGCAACTGCATTGCTCGGGCACAGGCGGAAACCACGCCCCTCCCCCAAAACTTAAAGGGCCAGAAGCAGCTCCCGCTCCTCGGCCCTTCCGCACTTTTGGGGGACGGGGGTGCGCAGGCGCAGTGGGGGAGCTCTGGGGTAGGGGTAGCGGTCGCGTATCAAGTTGCTCTCTGTCCTGGCAGAAGAAGCTAGGGCGCTGAGGGTCCAGGCGCCAGCTCGCTCTCCCCTACAGCAGTTGGAGGAGAAAAGTTCGTGAATTGGGCCCCCAAGTTTTGGGGGACCCGGGCTTGCTGCGCGGAGCGACAGAGGAGGCCCGTGGGAGGTGAGTGGACCTCCTGGATCTGTTTGGGAGGGGCAGATGAGATGGGACCGGTCACATCTTTGTTGAGCCCTCACTCATTCTGCGAACAGCCCCCGCAAAATAACCACAGAGAACATTTATCAAGCTGTGCTCGTGCCCGTATATAAGGCCCCCTGCTCACCTGTTTACTGACATGACTTCTTTTAGACCTAATTTCCCCACTTTATTTATGAGGAAACTGAGGCTCAGAGTAGTTAAGTCACGTGCCCAAGTTCTCACAGCCTGTAAGTGGAGGGATTCGAACCTAGATAGCTGACCCCAGAGCTAGGGCTTTTAAGTAGTGTATGTTATATGTGCCCTGGTGGTGGAGAGGAGTGGACCTGAAAAGCAGTTGGACTCTGGTCTCATTTCCCTGGCTGACCCCTTTTACCCACCCTCACTGTGCAAGGCCAGGTATGCGGTCGGTGCTTACTTAATAAAAGCTGTTGATAATTATTGCCATCTCTCCCCTTTTGGCGCTTCCCCCAGCTTCTCCCATGGAGCCCACCCAGCCTGCAGAGGACCTCAACCTGACCCAGCAGCCCCCCACCCCAGAATTTGGAGACCCTGAAGACCCTGGGGATGAGGCCCCCGATGGCTCCGACACTGTAGTCCTCAGTCTCTTCCCCTGTACTCCGGAGTCTGGGAATCCTGAGCCCGATGCTGGCGCCTCCTCACCTCAGGGTAGGATACTGTCCTGGGCTCCAGCCTCTGGGATGTGCAGATGGTGGAGTGTCAGACCTAAGACGGGATTTCTGTGTATGGCCCGCTACCCAGTGCGTGTCTTTCCTCTCCACCCAATGAGGGATCGCTTATTTGTTTTTTTCATTGTGGTAAAATCCACATAACATAAAAGTTACCATTTTAACCAGAATTACATTCAATTTAGTGGCAGTAAGTACATTCACAATGTTGTGTAACCCCCACCTCTATCTGTAGTCCCAGAATATTTTTATCACACCCAAAAAAGAAATCCCATATCAACTAAGCAGTCACTCCCATCCCTCTCTCCCGTAAGTCCCTGGCAACCATGAATTTGTTTTCTCTTTTCTATGGATTTCCCTGTTCTGGACATTTCATGTAAATGGAATCACACACTATGTGACCTTTTGTGTCCGGCCTCTTTCACGTACCATATTGTTTTTGAGGTGCGTCCATATTGTAGCATGTGTCAGAGCTTCATTCCTTTTCATGGCTGAGTACTATTCCATTGTGTGGATGGACCACATTTTGTTTATTCATTCATCCATTGATGGACACTTGGGTTATTCCCCTTTTGGCGATAGTGACTAGTGCTGCTGTGAACACTTGTGTAAAGTTTTCTTCTAAACACCTGATTTCAACTCTTTGGGGTAGACTCCTGGGAATGGAATTTCTGGGTCAGTTGGTAATTCTGTGTTTAACTTATTGAGGATCTGAGGATTTGTTTTGACTGGAGCCCTTGACTATGTCTAACTCAGTCCTCCCAGGGCCTTTGTCCCTGCCGTTCCCCCTGTGTGGAATGCTCTTCCCACACCTCTTCCCAGGGCTGGCTTCTTCACCTAGCTGAGTTCAGTTAGTGTCGCCTCCTTGGAGAAGCCCTCCCTGACCACCTTGTCTAAAATGGACTCGCTGCCTGCCCTCCTTTCTTGCTACCTCCTTCCACCTGCTTTCCATTTCTCTTGAACATTGTTTCAGCTTGAGCTTTCATTCTGTTTCTCTGTTTCTCTCTGACTCCCTCACTCATCCACAGGCCCCTGGAGAGCAGCGGCTTGGTCTCTTGCCCAGAACATTGCCCAAGCGGAGGAGAAATGCACACCCTGGGCATCCGGGAGAGTGGAAGAAGTGGATGGTGGATGGTGGGGTCAGGCACTGTCTTTGGCAGCTCCAAGCCCCCAGGTTCTGGCCTGAAGCCCCAGTGACATATACTGAGGGGAAACTGAGGCCCTTCCTCTCTCTCAGCAGGCAGCTCCCTCAAGCACTCCACGACCCTCACCAACCGGCAGCGGGGGAACGAGGTCTCAGCCCTCCCGGCCACCCTGGACTGTGAGTGGGCCCCCAGTCCCCAAGGGGAGGAGGGGTGGTGGAGGCAGGGGCTGGGAGGAGCAACTTCAGACAGGGATAAACTGAGGCACAGAGCGGAGATCGGAGGGGTGAGGACTCTGCCTCTCTCTGGCCCCCAGCCCTGTCCATCCACCAGCTTGCGGCCCAGGGGGAGCTGAGCCAGCTGAAGGAGCATCTGAGGAAAGGTGTGTGTGCATGTTCGTCGCCGTTGTGTCCGTGCCTGCCTGACCATGCATGCTGTGTGCATGTCGGTGCTGACATGGCCTGAGCCTCCAGGTGGGCACCTGTCTAGACATGTTGGACCTGTCCATATTTTGCATCTACATGTGTGCTTCCCCTACCTCTGACCCCAACCGCCTGCGCCGTCCCACTCCCGCAGCACTGGGGAGAGTGGGCAGGGTGCAGCCCAGTGGTACCACCCCCTCCTGCCAGGCGACAACCTCATCAACAAGCCGGACGAGCGCGGCTTCACTCCCCTCATCTGGGCCTCGGCCTTCGGAGAAATTGAGACCGTCCGCTTCTTGCTCGAGTGGGTGCGTCCCGGCCCAGCTGGTGACTTCCCAGGGACTCAAGGGCGGGCCAGGTCTCGGCTGAGTCTGCTGGTGCCATGTCTGTAAGACGAGGCTGCCATGGGGACACCAGGATTCAGGGGATGCCCTCACTTCTCCCACCACTGCTCCCTCTGCCCTCCCTTCTGTCATTGCCCCCTCTGCTTGCCCCAGGGTGCTGACCCCCACATCCTAGCCAAGGAGCGGGAGAGTGCCCTGTCACTGGCCAGTACAGGTGGCTACACGGACATCGTGGGGCTGCTACTTGAGCGTGACGTGGACATCAACATCTACGACTGGGTGAGGTGCCCCCCCCACCCTGTCCTGGGCACTTCAGGGGTACCAGGGTTGCTGAGAACACAAGACAGACCCATTCCCAAGCCTCACAAAACTCCCAGTTTGGGGCGGGGAGCCAACACATAAACAGTCAGCTGAGATGTAGTGAATAACACTGTGATGGCAGGCGCACAGACAGCTGCAAAAGCCCAGAGACGGCCTGTACCGCCAAGGGAGGTCAGGGAGGGCTTCTTGGAAGGGGGAGTATCTAAGTTGAGACCCAAAGGAAGAGCTAGACAGGCCAGGTGATGAGCAGGAGGAGGAACCACATTAAATTGGAGGGTGCAGGGTGTTGTGAGAATCTGGAAAAGACAGAGTGTTGGTTGCCCCCGCCCCTGCCCCTAACAGAATGGAGGGACGCCACTGCTGTACGCCGTGCGTGGGAACCATGTTAAGTGTGTCGAGGCCTTGCTGGGTGAGTGGGAGTAGAGGCTGGCTCTGCAGAATCCTGAGGGCCAGGGAGGGGTCCGAGCTCTACTTGAACAGCTCTTGGATGGACAGTCACTGCCTACTTTTCCCAGAGGATGGATCTGGGGACAGGAGGTGGTCGGATAGCATAGGGGTCTGCCTGCCTGGCTCGAGCACCTACACCCTCTGTGCCTCAGGGACCCTGGAGTGGGGGGATGCTATTGGCCACATTCTTTGGAGAGCTCAGGCTCTGTCCAAGGCCATGCAGACAACCAGCAGACTTGTGGCTGCATCTTGTGGGGCAGTTACTGGTCCTCCTGAGCCCCGCTGTAGCACCTGCTTTGTTTTGCAGCCCGAGGAGCTGATCTCACCACCGAGGCTGACTCTGGCTACACCCCGATGGACCTCGCTGTGGCCCTGGGATACCGGAAAGGTTGGCCTGAGACACACAGGGCATTGACAGGGTGCTGGAGGCAGGGTGACCACAGAGGGGTACACGGGATATCCCCCTCGGCTGTCAGACGTTGGCAGTGAGAATGTTTGTGTTAGCAAATGTCGAGTGCCACTGTGCACCTGGCCTGGGCATGTCCTAGTCTCAGCTCTCAGGGCAACCTGGGCACTGCGGGTGGGAGGCTCAAAGGAGCCCTGGCCCAGCCCAAGGAGGGGTGGGGGGCAGGGAGGGCTTCCTGGGGACCCAAGGGGAGGGAGGGGATGGTTCAGGCTGGAAGAACAGGGCACTCAGAGGCCTGGCAGGGTGAGGACGCCAGGAGGGAGGGGGCTGGGCCACTGTGCCTGAGGCCATGGGGGCAGCCCTCTCCGTGGCAGGAGGTGTGTGGGAGCCAGGGCCGCAGGCAGACCCCAGGCTGATTCTCCACTTCCCCCTTCAGCTTCCCCATCCATAAAAGGGGGCATCTTCACTAGAACCGACCCTCAGGGTCGTGGGGGAAATGGAGGGCTTGAGAAATTTCCCCTCCTCCCTTCGAGGAGTTTATTGGGGCAGAAGTCATTTCTCACAGCCCCTCTTGTCTTTTCATAAAAGTCACAATTTGGCAATTGTTTGCTAAGAAATATTTTTATGACTCTGAAAAGCCTCCAAAATGCATTTTTACAAACTTAGGGGAAGTTGAGGTTTCTGGGATGGGGGCCTCTGTCTTCCCAGCTGTGCTCTGGGAGTGGCGTGTGTTTCCCAGTGCGAGTGGATCCTCCATCCAGATTCCAGGGCTGGGAGGCTCCAGTTCGCCCCCAAGGGGAGGCTGCAGGTTGGCCTGTGCCTCCGCAGCCCTCAGTCAGTCCATGGCCCACCTTCTGCCTGTCCTGTTTCCAGTGCAACAAGCGATCGAGAACCACATCCTTAAACTCTTCCAGAGCAACCTGGTACCCACCGATCCCGAGTGAAGGCCACCTGCCGGGGACTCAGACATTCAGGGAACGAAACGGTTGACCCAGAGCTGGGGGAACCCAGAACTGGCTTCAAAGGCAGCTCCTGGACAGACGGTGGGAGGGGGCCCTTCCCAAGAGGAGCCAATAAACCTTCTGTGCAGAACTTGAAGGACTTGGCTGTGCTTCCCCAAGGGCTTCCAGGAAGAGGCAGTGGCCCAGTGGGTTCATACCTTCTCCCCCAGCACCCGCAGGTGGTAGATGACCACACGGCCAAAAAAGTCAGTGGCGTCCTCAAACGTCACCTTCAGCCGGTCTACGTCAGCAGCTGGCACAGGGAAGGTGTGAGCGCGGGCAGTCAAAGGAAACAGGTGGCTTGTCATATCCTACCTACCCTCAGCCCTCACCCAGTCCCAATTCAGACACTACTAATGAGCTGGGTGACCCAGCATGGTGTGGGCCCCTCTGAGGCTCTTACACAGAACAGGTGATTATCAGCCCATTTTACAGATGAAGCCTTGGAGGCCCAGAGGCCACTTGCTCAAGGTCATATGCCAGGGCCTACAGCTTTCAGAGGCACAGACCACCCCACCCCAGAGGCTGGGGCAGGATATCTGAAGTGAGTTGTTGTCCTCCGGGTAGAAGTCCACAATCTTGCCAAGAGCCTCACTCCCCTGGGAACCTGCAGTGGAGAAAGAGGCAGACTGTAAGGCCAGGGTACCCCCTCTAAACCCCCACCTTCCAGGGCATTCCAGTACCTTCCAGGCAGCCCCGGCGACTGGAGAAGCCCCCCTGGAACTGGATCTGCAGCTGGGAGACACAGACGCGCTGGGGAAACTCCAGTATCACCCACTGGGAGGGGCCCTAGAAGCCGACAGGAAACTGAGGCCCAAGGTTACTCCAGGCTCAGGGCCCTGCTATACCTGTCTCATTCACACAGTTGATGCCGGGGAGGAGGAGACGCAGTTAGCACATGTTCCCTCTCTGGCCAACCTGACTGTACCCAGCTGGGGCACCCCAAAGTTCTCAAGGTACCCTGGACCCCAGAATCTGATTCACACGAGGGATGGAGGGTCCAAGGAGAGATGCCTCACCTGGTCCGAGTTCCAGCACGTCTCCTCATCCTGGTCGAACAGGTGCTTCTTTCCAAACTGCCTCGTGTTGCGATTCAGCACAGAACTCACCCTGGTGGTACCAGAATTAGGACGAGGAAAGGGCCTGAGCCCAGCACCAAGGGCCCCACGGCCCCCCGCCGGGCCGCACCCTCGGCTCCCCCTTCCCTGGCTCTGTCCACCGGAGACTCAAGCCCAGGCCAAGAGCCCCGCCCGCCACTGCCCAGGCCCCCCAGGCTCTCACCTACTCACTGTGTCTGGACAAACCAAAGAGTGGGTCATCTGGGCTCCACAGGGCATCGAAGGTCTGAGTTGGGCTGTCCCGGGTTCAAATCCCGGAGCCAACGCAGCCGCAGCGGCGCGACCTTGTCCACGTCTCTGAGCCTACTCGTCCTCACCTAGAACACGGGGCAAGAACCGTCACTGCCCCGCCGCTCCAGTCCTAAATGTCGCCTTGATCACCCACTTGCCAGAAAAATTGGGGGATTCGGGGTAACTGCCAATGACCAGGGGTCAGGCCTTTCACAGCAGGGCCAAGAAGGGAAACAAGTTTCCCGTGGGCTTACGGGGACGATCGCTTCCTCTCCGAACCTCAGTTTCTCTGCGAACAGCTCCGGAAACCAAGAGCTGGACCCGGAACCGCGTGGACACTGCGCAGGCGCACTGAGACTCGGGCCCGCCCCACCCTCTCTCCCGGGGCGGGGTTTGACTTGAGCCCTGCCCCCGTGTTCGCCTCTTAAAGGGCCCGCTCCCCTCGATTGAGTTGCCCGTTGGAACTGGAGGAAGACTGGCGCCAAAAGCCACTACATGCGGGGCGCTGTCCTTTGGTGCCCGCAGGTATAGAGCACTGGTTTTGGAGAGACTTCCTATAGCGATGTCTTCCTACCTGGGGAAATCTACTGAATCCATACCCTAACTACTAATGCTGGCTGGGAACCCCCGCACCTCACTGCCTCCCAGAGGCCAAAGGAAGACTCGGGGAAGAGGCCACGATGTTGGGAGTACAGGGAGTCATCGTAAGCCCTGTGTGTCCTGTCTCAGCCTCCAAAATTGTCTTCCCAGTAAATGCTGCCTGGAACATGGAGGAAGGCATGTGACATGGGTTTTTTAGGATGAATACGAGTTTACCAAGTCAGATTACACCAGGCCTCAGATACCAGGCTAAAGATTTCGTTCACTAAACAACTCCTGTCATCCCCTACTGCCCAGCCTTGTGTTAGGTAATGCTGGGGGTGGTGAGAGACCTCAGATTCAGCCCTATACCTGAGGGACCCCCAATCTGGGCAAGACAGAGCTAGACACAGACACTCCCAGCCCCATGGGGCCAGGGCTGAGCCAGAGGGAGAGATACCGCTGGGAGAGGAGGGCCTCTCCCTGGAGGGCGGGCTTCCTGGGAGAGGGAATATTGTGCCTGCACCTTAATGGTGGGCAGGATTCACCAGGGTGACAAAAGTGGGGAGTGGGGGGACGGTGGGTGGTCCAAGCAGGGAGAACAGCATAAGCAAAGGCCTGGTTGGGTGAAAGATCATGAATTTAAATAAAATATGTGGAGCCAGATCCTGCTGGGCCTGCAGAGTCATGAAAGGTGGTTAAGAAAGGCAGGAGAGCATCCGAGCTGCGTGAATGGAGGGTTCTGAGACAGAGTGGCACTGGCAGGATGCTGTGGTTCCTGGCTTCAACTGAATGGTCTGAGGTCCAGCCTTTTTCTTCAAGGGCTGGGGGAATGGTCCTCCTGGCATCCTACTAGCTTCTGCCCAAGCCCACTCTGGGACAGGGGGTGGGGAGCTGTCTGGGAAACTGGGTTACCAGCAGAAAGGCTGCCCCATGAGCCCCTGCCTGCCAGGACTTCCTGCGTTCAGTCATGGTCTGCTGCCATCCACACCCCGCCTGCTGGGCTCAGGGCTGTGGCTGGGGGTGGCAGGAAACACCTCTCTAGCCCCAGAGGAAGTTAGGAAGAGCATGGACTCTGGAGGACTCAGATCCAGGCCACTCACTGGCTGTGTGACGTTGGACAAGCATCTTGACTTCTCTGAGCCTCAGTTTCCTCATCCGTGAAAAGGAGGGAATTCTATTTATAGGACTGTTGGAGAATTCACTGGGCTCTTCGGGTTGACACATAGCAACAGTGGCTGACCTTTGTTGAGAGCCCACCTTGTGTTTCACTTGAAGCCACGTTTTGTCTCCATCCACTGGCTCATTAAACCTGCTGTGCTGGTCCATGTCACCGCCATTTTACAGCTGAGGATGTGGCCACTGGGCCAAGGTCCCTCAGGGAGGATATGGATGGCTCCAGGGCTCCCCACGCCACTCCTGGTCTTGGCATGGAGCCCTCTTGCCCACTGGGATCAGGCCAGCTCCAGTACCCTCTTCCCGCCTCCTCACCCCACTGGCGCCTGGGCATGAAAGAGCCTCCTGTTTCTCCAGGGAATTAGCTGCTCTAAGCTCCCAGCAGGGCAGCCAAAAGTGGTCCATTCATTTGCCTGAGTGAGGAGAGACTAGGCACTCCCTCTCCCCTCACCCCAGGGGATGGGGCAGAGGGAGCTTCAGAAGAGCCAGGAGCTGCAACTCTCTTTTGCTGAGGGAAACTGAGGCACAGAAAAGCAAAGTCATTTGGCTAAGGTCACCCAGGGGGACTGGGATTCAAACCCCGGTCTGACTCTGGAGTTCCCTCCACCAGGACGAGTTCTGCATTTCTCAGGAAAGAAAATGGAGGCTCAGAAAGGCTCAGGGATTTAAAGTCACACAGCAAGCGTGGGTCAGCGAGGACTCTCGCTGGGGAGGCAGCCCCACCCATGGCAGAAAACAGGTCCCACGTCCCAGGAGCTTGTCACCCCGGAGCAGGGCAGGCAAAGGCCCTTGGCTAGCTTCGAGCCTTGGTTTCTGCTGAAGAGTGGATGCAACGGAGAGTCTGCTGTGGGGGGTGTGACAGGGCCCCCAGCCCGCGGCCCTCTCTGGGGCAGCCCCAGGTCTGATTTCTCCTCTGGGGTTGCCTGGGTCCACAGGGTCTGGCTCAGAGCAGACAGACGCTCCCTTGGTGCCAGCTGGACTTGTAGGTCCCGGCAGGGTGGGAGCCTGTGTGAGGGGAGGCGAAAACGGGAGTGGGAGTGGGTGGCCAGGTGTGAAGGGACTGAGGTGAACTCTTGTGGGAAGACTGAGGGCCAGCACTGGGTGTGTTGGTTGGTGAGCACGAGTGGCTGTGAGTGTGGCCCCGCGAGGACTGTACGTCTCTGTGTCGTCAACATGGTGCCAAGCGATCGTGGTCGGGTGCTGGCTGTCTGTAGGTGTGCCCATGGCTGTAAATGTGGTTGGGTGTGAACAACGTGGGGCAAATGTGGGCTGTTTGTGGCTGCCAGGAAGGCTAAGCTGCGCTGAATGTGAATTGTGGTGGGTGGGTGTGTTTGAGTGTGAAGGGACTTCAGGTGCGCCCAGGCTCACCGCTGTGAGTTTGGTTGTGCAGAGGCATGACTTGTGTGTGAAGGGTGAGGTTGTGTGCGGCCTGTGTGACTTATATGTGGCCTTGCTGGGCATCATTGTATATGAGCCACCTGTGCTGTCACTGTGTCTGAGATGTGACTGTGTGTCAGTCGTTGTTGGTGAAATTGTGTGTAACCAATGTGAATGTGAATGCATCTGCCATGTCTGTGTGTCACCTTGGGTATGCTGAGAGGCACTTTGGGGGATGTTGTCCACCCCTGAGATCCAGCTCTCCTGGAGGGTCCAGCCTCCCCACTCCTGCCCTGGCCCACAGCCTCCTCCCCTGCTCCCTCCCCCGATTTGCAGCAGCCCCTGGCCGAGGCCCCAGTGCTGGGGGGACAGAGAAGGCACTCAGGGCTGGGGGTGGGGGGGTGCTTGCCCAATCCCAAGGCAGGCCTATAAATAGCTCTTTGAGCCCAGCAGATTCCCAGGCAAGGTTGCCTCATTCAAGCCCCCGGCAACCGCCGTCCCCGGGCCCCAGGCCAGCCCCTCTAAGCTCAGCCCTGGCACCAGCCAGGGGGGCTAGGGGGTAGGGCGGAGGGGGGAGTAGAGGGATGGGGACGGTTGGGGTGGAGGTCAGCTTTGCTCTGAGGCCACAGACCTGGGCTCCTACTCAGCCCCTACCCATACTGTGCAACCTCAGGTAGGTGGTCTCATCTCCCCAAGCCTCAGTTTCCCCAGTTGGAAAGTGGGCAGCAGCACATAGCAGCCCCCATCTCTTGTGTTTACTTCCCATTTCATTCTCCCAGCAACCTTGTAAGGTAGGGACTCTTAATTATCCCTGTTTTAGGTGGGGAAACTGAGGCACAGAAAGATGGAATGGCTGGCCCAGAGTCACTCTGTTAAGGTGGCAGAGAGGGGTTTTGAATCCTGGACTTGTGGAGGTCAAGCTGCTTGGCTCCCACGCACATCACACAACCACACTCAGACGCCGCTGTCACTCACCACTGCTGCAACCACCACGCCCCTCACACCAACCTGTCACCTGCAGACACTCAGATCTGCATGATCCCTGACCTCCGCTCTTCCTCTGTGACCAGGCGTTGGACAGGAAGCAGAGCTCCCTGGTGTGTCACTTTGGCCCTAGGGGTTCGCACTCGCCTGCCCCCAGACCAGCAACTGAGTCTACACGCATGAGACACTGACACGTACAGAAGCCTGTGGCAACCTTGCTCCTCTGAGGTCTCCCCTCGCTCCTACACTCTCTTTGTAATTCTGAAGAAACTATCTTGTCCCTTGCTTGTCTATGCCCCCACCATACTGAGTCCGCTCCTCAGAGATGCACAAACACATACACACACACACACACAGATGCAGGACACTGGGTGGAGCATACTACCCTCTGCCCAGGGCAGCCCATTCTCAGCTGAGAGACTAAGGAAGGACGGTGGTGCGAGGGCCTCATCTCTTTAAGTTTTCGTCCCCTCTCACTGCCATTTCTCACTGTGGTAAAATACACAGAATATGAAATTTACCATTTTAAAACTGTATAATTCAGTGTATTCATATTATTGTACAACCATCACCTCTATCTAGTTCTAGAACATTTTCATCATCCCGTCCTCTTTAGGAGTCATTTCCTATCCCCCCCGACCCAGCCCCTGGAAAACCACCAATCTACTTTCCACCTCTAAATTTGTCTGTTCTGAATGTTTCATATAAATGGGACCACACAGTATGTGGCCTTTTGTGTCTGGCTTCTCTCATTCAGCATGAAGCTTTTTGAGGTTCATCCACGTTGTAGCATGTGTCACAGCTTCATTCCTTTTTATGGCTGAGTAATATTCCATTGTGTGGATCTACGCCTTTTACAATTGGGGTCTCCCTGCAAAGACACCCACATGCCACCTGCTCAAAGCAAAAGTATTCCTGTGACAACAGGACCTGCTCCACAGCAGGTGCTCCAGAAATGCTGAGTGGACAAAGGCATGATTGAATGAATGAAGACACGTCTGGCTGGAGCTAGTGGAAACAGCTCTGGGTGTGACACACCTGGGCTTCCACCCTACCAGTTTCTTACCAGCTGTGTGACCCAAGGATTTTCGTCCCCTCTCTGCACCTCAGCTCCCTCTCCGTACATGGGATACAGCAGTCATTGTAGCCCAAACTGCTTCAAGTGCGAGCCCTGGAGAGTCAGCCAGGCCAAGGTTAGAATCCCAGTTCTGCCCTCCCCTCTGCATGACCTTGGGAGCGGCTTGTCTCCCTGGGGCTCAGTTTCCCCATCTGCAAGATGGGGCAGTCCCCGCCGTGGGGCGTCTGGGGACATTTAACGTGGCTCCTGGGGCGAAGTGAATGCGGGGAAGTCAGGCGCAGTCTTTGCTGGGTGGAGTTAGCGGTCGAAGGAATGGGGAGAGGGTTTTGGGCAGGGGGAGTCCCCTCCCGCGCTCAGCCGGAGGCCTCGGGCTGGCAGGGGCGCATGCGCAGAGCAGCCCCGTGGCCCCTTTATAAGCGCTGAGGCGGCGCTGGGGCGAGCCGAGCGCAGGGCGCAGGGGCCGGACCCCGCGCCGTGAGAGCAGAGCTGAGCAGGAGCGTCCTTTGTGCCGGGCGACCGCCCCGCGATGCATCCGAGATAGAAGCCAGGTGGGAGTCCGTCGTGGGGAAGGGGCGGCGTTGGAGGAGAAGTCCTCGGGATTAGAGGCGGAGCCCGGGATTGGGGAGGGGACCTGCGATCAGAGAGAAGCCCCCAGAATGGGAAGGGGGCTGAGAGGGGGAGGGGAGCCCCGGGTTGGGGAGGGAACGCAAACTGGGAGGGGGCTTGGGAATGTCAGGGGGACACGGATTTGGGGGTAAGGTTGTCCGGGGAATGCGGAGACGACCTC